TTCTGAGTGAATAGATAATGTTTTTGGTTGATTATTGAATTATTTGATTTTTTTGTGGATTTTTTGAATTGTTCAAAGAGAAATTAAACTGAAAAACAAAAGAATTAAATGATTAAATGTGCTGAATGGAAAAGAAGAAACGACGAAGTATTATTAACGAGAAGAAAAATGAAATTGAAAAAGAAAAAATTCAAAATTCAAGGAATTAGGAAAGGATTATTGAAAAATTTGAAGAATTGATTTGAAGAATTACTGGACGATAATTGAAGAGTCGTGAGGATTAGAGGAAATTATTGATTTATTGAATAAGAATTTAAGGAGAAATCAAAGGGGTTAACTGAGTTATTGAAGAAGATTTGGAGAAGAATTCAGAGAATTATTCGAAATTGAAGATATTCGTGAAAATTTGTACGATTTATTGAAGTATTTGTCGATTGATTTGGATTATTTGATGAAGAATTAGAGAATTAGTGTTTGAATTAAAATTCAATTGGATTGAAAAGAAGAAATGAATAAGAAGTGGAAGTGAAAGATAAGATTGTAAAGCTTGTTAGCGAAGCCCCTTTGGGGCTGAAATGTCGAACTCACATATATTCTTTAGCCTTATTAAACTAATACAAAATAGATGAAGTCAAAAATCCTTCATAGACTATAGTTGCATTCGAAGATAATCGATCACCAAAGTAAATATTTGTCTGATTTATTTTTGTATTTCGAACAGAAATATTTTATATTTTCTTCGGTTGCCCTTTGTTTTTTGCATTGTTACTATTCGCTAATTATTTTTCATTTTTTTAAATTTGTGGTTTTGTTAATTTAATATTCTTATTATTATAATCATTGAATTAATCGGTAAATAAGTCTATTTTACATATCCATGATATTTACGGCAGTTTTTACGCACTATTATATGTTTATTAATCAAGCCACAAAAAATGATGACGACTATATTTTTCAAAATTATAACTTGATCAATTTTGCAAAAAAAACTCTAGAAAATCTGACACCTATTATTCTCCATTGCTAAAGTCTGTAATGGGAGCCTGTCTGTAAGGATGTGGGTGTCTCAAGTTTTTGTTTAAACCCACACGCACTCCTGGTGAATATCAGACAAAAAAAAGTAGCGATTTCATCTTGATATTTTGAAATCGTGTTCGAACGAATATTTTCTGACTTTTCGTTCTCGAGATCATCGCGACACAAAATGCCAACTTTTGATACATACGTCGAGATAGTAAAAACAAAAAAACATTCGCGAAGGACTACATGAATGCTGTGCTTCGCACCGTATTAAATATTTATGTGAGAGGAGCGTGGGTATGGCGTCTATCATTACAGTCATAGTGATTTATTGAATATACTTCTGAAAGAATCACTAAAGATACTACAGTTTATGAAAGTGAGCTTATTTGACAAGAAGCAACAACGAGATGATTCAAATAAGGATTTCGCAGCATCTTTCTTTTCGATATTTTCGCCATCTAGATTTTTCTTTTCAGCATTTTCTGTCAATTCGACTCCTACTATTTTTATATATCGTTCTTCAACATTGTTCCCTTTCAACATTCTTATTTTTCGACCAAATTTGGGTTAATCTTTTGAATAAATATTCCTATGTGTAAAAGAAATATCATTCATGCATCAATTATCAACATTTGATACGTTTCTTTTTTTTTCAATTTATACTTAATTTAAATACATAGATAAAAAAGTTTCGATAGTATTTTATTTAAAAGAACCATTACAAAAAAAGAAAAGAAATATCAGGTTCAAGTATAATTCATACAACTGGTCTTCATTACAATTTAAATATTCTTAACAATGAAAAATAATCCTACAAAGTAATCGACACATATTTTTACAAGGTATTTTTCCCACAAATGAAAAAATAACAACAAGAATTAGATTTTGATGAGTTTTATAAAAGTCTTCAAAGAAATCTTGATGTATTTATATCTCATTGTCTTATTAAAGAAGATGAATATATATACTTAGGATTAATCAAAAGTTCTGACAACATTAAATAAAAATACGAAGATAAGAAGATATTTTTAATTTAATTTTAGGGGTGGGTGGTGTGGTTGTGGGTGTAGATGTCCTTGATCTTTTGATTCACACCCACACCCAATTGGACTTTTGCATTGGAAATCCGATAGTGTACTATAAAATCAAATGATATTGTAATTAAACTGAGATTTAAGGTTTCCAAAAGAATCTGATTTTTAAAAGAAAAAGACTAAAAAAAACAATCCATATCTCGTTAAAGGTTATCACTGAGAAAATTAATCTTTATGTTTATATAATATATTCTATAATATTCAATAGCATTACATGTAACTACGTTTATTGCTGAAATAGAATTTTTTTATGGTAGTAAGTATGTGCACAAGCGAGAGAAATTCTTTTTTTGAAAAGATAAAGAATTAAGAGAAGTGGAGGATATTAGTACAAGTTTTTGGTATAGTTCTCACCATAGAGAATATACGTAGTTTCAACATAAAATAATCACTATCTTTAGTCTTATTTCATAATCACAATATTAACAAACACTAGCGTTCATTTCACTAAAAATAATCGTTCAAAAAAATCGTATAAATACAAACTAAACATCACGAATTACAAGCAATTATATAACTTTCTCAAAATATATTTTGTTAGCAAAACGA